TATTTCCAATTAAATTTTTTTAGAAATTTATTAGATAAGAGCAGAAATTGTGAAAGAAGACATCCGACTCGTTTCCTTTACATTATTTCGGTAAATATTTCGAATAAAATCTCGTATAAGATTATTCGTAATATTCGAAATATTCGAATAAAATTTATTTAAAGTATTTACGAAAATATTGTAAAGAAAAAGAGTTACGAGTCCTTTCTTGCGCAATTTTGATTTGTTTAATAAAATTTCAAATAAAATTTTATTCGAAATATTACTGGAATCTCTCAAATTTTATTCGAAGAACATATTCGAAATATTTCTCGAATAAAATTTTATTGGAAAAATGCCAAACTCTGGTATAGAGCAAAAAAAAATAGAGTAAAAATTTTGTATTAACAAACTTAAGGACAGACGCGGGGAAACTTTCGTCGGTTATCGATTGACACTGCAGGCGTGCCGAATAGCCGATTCGAAGATACGCGTAAACACACGCACATCGTTGCATAAGTATATCCGGTGTGGAGAGGATGCCGACCTTGGAATATCAAATGATGGAAACGCAGAATAAGTACGTGTAAACGATGATCCGCGAGACGATCGTTCCCTCCCCGCGATTAACGCCACGCCGACCATAAAATGATTCCGAATATCTGGAACCAGAGTACCGCGGTTGAATGTTAACGGTGCAAACCTATTCGAGGGAACTCAATAAAATCGAACCCGATGCGCGAGCATCAGCATTTCGTTCGCCACGTTTTACCATGCGATGCACACGCTCTAGAGAAAGTGGAACGCTCGGCGAAGATGAGGTTCTTCATGCGAACATTAAAATACACACCCGACAATCATCGTTTATCGATTTCTAACGCGATGTTAATCCCGCAACGGTTACGCCTTTGCAGAAGAACTGGAACAATCCGTAATTCCCGGCGGATATCGAGGACCGACAGATGCTGCCCAAGAATTGTAGATGAAAATGCTAATTGCCGGCTGCTGGAGCGCAACCATCCGTGGAAGACGAAGAGCCAAAAATAGGCGTATTCGTAGTTTCTAAGATTTCAATCAGAGATCGGCAAAATTTTATTCGGATCACGGATAAGAGATAAAGACTAACGAAGAAAATTTTATTCGACACTATCGAATGATCCAATCGAATAAAAGTTTATCCAGATAAAAATTTATCCGAATTAGATTTTATAGAAATCTTATTTCATTCATCTTATTTCAATTCACGCGGATAAGAGTTTATGCGTACAGGAATTTATACAGAAAATAATCTACTTGATTGGAAATGGAAAGTATGAAGTGTTTTTTTTTAAATAGTTTATCGATTTATTTATTTCGTATTCCTTTTTTCGAATGTTGCATCGAAAAGTTCGTTACGTTTGGACGGATGCATTAATGCATAACGAAATAATTTTTCTACGAGTGCAGACAAAACATCGACAATCTTATAATTCCGCAAGTAAATAGTTGAAATGGAATTGATTCTGAATGTTTCGTGTAAATAAATTCTTATGAAATTCCGTAAAAACAAAAAGCAGTCAACAATTATTATTCGAATAATCTTACGATCTCTATTCGAATAATAGATTTCAATAGATTTATATGAACAAATGTGATTACCTTCGAATATGAATAATCGTTTTTCGAATAAATTACTCCATCTTAGATAAATATTTATCCGAAACAATTCGAATAATGCTCAATTCTGGTTTCGAATGACCTCTGATTACATAATCCTCGGATCTTTTAAGTGGCCAAGTTCTCAAGACTCCTCAATTAGGCTGTTATCTGCTAATTGTTTGAATAGGGTAATACATGAAGCAGTCGGATAAATAGCGGCGGAGCAATTAATCATCTGATACTTGAGGAAACTCTTCTGGGTCTCGAACGACCCCTCCCGTCGTCGTTCAAAGCTGAACGCGAGTGATCTTTATGCGCAGCAGTTCGGTGTATTAAATGAGAAAATCAAGTGCCTGGGAAGTGAGAGCATTTCGCTTAACGTTTCGAATAGCCAGGCGAAATTCTTAATTACACCGTACATGAGAGCTTCCCATTTCGAAGCAATTCGCGGAGATATTCGCGGAGCCGCAAGGAGATAAAACGTTGCAAAAACAACGCGTATTTATGGAACATTTTCCGAGTGGCCTACTTTTTTTGCGTCACACTGTGCACAGCCGATGGTTTGACATACTACACGGACTTCATTTCACGACGCACACCGCGAAATATCGAAGGTCTCCAGGTTTCGCGCTAGGGATGAAGCTATACATTGTTTACATACTTGGATACTATGCGTTTAATTGAATATACAATCCTTTTCCAACCTTTGTCGCGTCGCACAATGGCTTTAACACAAAATTTTATACGCAGAGCAAAAATCGCTTTTTTTCCGTAGAAACAATGACGCACATTGTGAAGCATAGAACGAACTGTTGCTGAAAAATTGCACGTGCAACCCTCCAAGACCTTCTCTGCTATGCGAAATGATTAAAACAGAAGCGAGGAAACGTGGCTATTTTTTCGGAAGTTTTATCGCTCGCGCGCCACATTTTATCAGCATTTTTGCAGTGGACGACCGACAGTAACAAGCAACAAATATACGACTCGATGCGTAAAAACCAAGGATTTGATAAGATAATAAAAAAAAATATCTAGGATCGCGGTATATTATATCTCGAGGCCGATATATCCACGATGATGGCTATCCGTGCAAATTTCAAATGTTTTAATAAATTGCTGTTTAAGCTAATCTGAAAAACTGAAGGCACTGAAACAGTCATAACTTGTTCATTTTCGATCTTCTTTATTATCTTTTTTCATAGGTTATAGAGCATCCATTGGAGATTAAAATGGCTATGATGTCCAACAACGAGTAAAACTCATTGAGTTTCTCTATTCCCGTGAAAAATTCTCTATTCCTCGGAGAAAATGCCGGCAACATTTTAATGTGTGTGATTTAATCCATTAATTATATTTCCAAATAAAATAATAAAAGATTAAGGAAACACATGCGTTTGCGTTTGTTATTTTTGTTTTGTATCATTCAGTCATTCAGCGACCACTCTGCAGAGGGGGAGATACCTGATACGTATCAGGATAAGATATTGAAAATAAAAGAAGTTGCAGGTAATTCAAGGGAACTCGAAGATTCTATAATGGAACAAATAGCAATTTTATTACCTTCGGATAGTTGCCGAGGAATGTATAATTGAGACGAGATAAGGTAGAGATAAACTACTAGTTCGTGTCTCTTTGTACGTTCTGACGGACAAACGACGGAAGCATAGCCCGGAGAAATCTTAAAACGACTTTGGAAAAGTAACTTTCTTTCGTTCTTATTGTTGGATCCTTTTCTACGCTGAAAGGGAGTGCTGTTTCGTTTCATTGTAGTTCCTATTGTTTAGCCATCTATATTATGCTGTACTTGTTCAAGGAGTTTATTATTTCTGGAAAATGCTCCAGTTTCGTCTCGGATCTTCTCTAACGATTTTCTACATTAAACAATTTCAAACATAAACATCGTGTTTCTTGTGTTCGAAAAATTGCATCCAACGAACTGATTGATAAAAACATTTCATTTTTACAGCTTTCGAAGAGATGTTGGTTAACCAGTGGATGATCACAATCGTTACAATTTGTTTTTTTTAATTTTGTTACTAGATGATAGCTTTTTAACATATCGTGATCGCACAGGTTCTCCTAAATCTAAATCATCGAATCTCCAAACTCGGAGACAATTTACCGGCAAACGAAAGCGATTCATTAATTAGACACAATTTGCTGCGATAATAATACGGTGATTATTTAGACTGCGGATCTTTATGCAAAATAAAAGTGTTCTCAGCCAATTGTACGAATCAAAGATTAAACAAAAATTAATTTCCTCTTTTAATAGTTTTAATAAGTCGATAGTAGTACAATATTCTTAAATTTGTCTAGTGTCTTCAAATATTTCTATTTCACCTACGTATATCTGCCGTAGACGCATATACATCCATAGTCTAGTGATCATAGTAACGCAATCTTATTCACAGCTTCAGAAAAAAATGTCTCTTTTCGCAGTTCTTGGTCAGCAGCGCGTTAACGACATCTTAAGGTCTCGTTATTATTAGAAGTGGAACTTTGTAGTCCACAATGCTCGTTACAGTGGGATGCGATTCGACAAGTTGAAGCTTGCAATTCGAAGCAAATGCCAAGGACTACTGCGTGCTGCATCCACGCAGTTGAAATTCTACGGAAGAACATTTTTGGCTCGTCTTTCAATGAAAATCATCTTTTCCTGATACTATAGAGAACACTGCACGACGACAAACATTGTTGTTATCACAGCAAACTTCGTAATTGCAGTGAGAATAATTATTGACTCGTCCTCGTAGCATTTGCGACATATCGATCCACTGGTTAACAAATACGTATTATAATGTAAATCTTAATCTGAATGTAGAGCAACGGTAGCCGAATATGAAACTCCATTTGCATTTCATGAAAAATCGATGAAAACGACGTCGAACACTTGTTTGTCACAGCTTTATGAAAAGTATTCATTTCTTAGACTATTGTCTACTATGAAAATAGAAATAATACATATAAACAATTGTAAAATTGATGGTTTTCAAAAATTCTCTGCGTCAACCGTCAACGTAACCGAATAAAAAATTTCTTCGTATAATGATTTTAATAAGCTACCGTTTTATATTTCACTCATTCGTGGCTCGGCATCGAACAATCTGCTTTCAAAGTTACATAAATTTTCGTTTAAAGTAATTAGAAGAACCAGCGATGAGAAAAAAACAAATTCAACGAGGTATTACACAATTCGTGTTCACGCGAATGATAATCGTTCGGTCTAATAGTTATAAACACCGCGACAATATCGCAGCACTCATTTAAGAAAATATTACGAGGTCTCGCATTTAGTACCATCACTCTACTTATTCTATTAACCGGTAAGCAAACTTACAATGCTAATTCTAAAACATTATATAAACAAGCGTAATACTCACTGCCTCGTGGACCGTAGAATTTGACGGAAAATTCGTTTAATCCTCCTAGTATCGTCACCTCATGCTTGCTTTCTATTCTGTTTGAAGGCGTGGGTTAAGGAAAATAGTTAATTTATCAGTGAGCACACAAATCGATTAATCCTCGTACGACACGATAGTACAACAATTCTCTTCCATTTTCTATCCTCAAGAAGCACGGTTAGCTGCACGAAGCTCGACCGATTTTTCACGGGTAATTTCTTGACGGAGAGTGTCAATCCCTAGTCACATGAATTTTCTGTGAGCAGCTTTCGCACGTGCTCGCTAGACAAGGCCATAATTCCTGTAGATCAGAGTTGGGCAGCGATTCATTATTTTGCGATCACTTTTGTAATCGATCGCGACAAGTAATCACGGTTATTCGTTACTAGAATTTCCATTAATCATCACTAAAATAAATACATTTGGAAATCTGTAATCATTAGACTGCGGACTTTACGTATTTATGACAAAAATATCTAGAAAAAGTACCAAACAGCAAACTTGTCGGAAACATTTTCCAACAGTATTGCTACCTGCTTTTTAATTTGTTAAAATTATTAAAAGAACAAATACGTTTGTATATGATTTCGGTTCCTCACAATCGAGTTACACAAGTTTAATTTTGCTCGAAGATCAGCAATCTAATCGAATGTTTAATTTATCTTCTCTCATCGCTTAAAATTGGGTCCGAGATAAAAAGAAAGTTTTCCATTAAGTCATGAATTATTATTAACTATCATAATAGCAAATTTATCAGTTAAATATAATCAACAAAAGTAATCATTACATGATCAACGATTACAGTTTTAATCGTGGCCAACGATAACATGTGCTTCGATTACATAATTTATTCATTAATCATGATTACTCGATTACTTGGCAATCGTAATCATTAATAACTAACAAGGTTTCACGTTAACCATAATCGATCCTTATTAATCATTAAGCAGATTACTTTTCGCCCAACTCTGCCGTGGATTTACATTCTGTTTCGGTCGATTAAAAGCTTGCGGAAATTACTATTCATTCCAGTGACCACATAATTCCCTGCAAGAGGCGTTCCTGCTCGTTCCCTGTTATGTCGACGACATTTTACCTGAACAGGTAGCTCGCGAGAGAGGCAGCGCGTACTAAAAGTCGCGCGAGATGCTCGAATAAGAAACGAAAACGGTGCGCGCAAATATTTAACGTCGACAAAGAAACGGTGCAATGAACTGCGGGAAACCGATTGCCGAGAGAACCGGGAATCGTGTCAGAAATCAACTGGCAACGTTATTTTCACCGATCAATGGGACCACGCAACAAGGCTCGCGTGACTAAACCCGATCCCATCGCTTTGCGTACCGCGATGACGCAACGGAAAATTCAAGATTCTTGGCTACGACTCCATTATCAGTCCCTCGAACCATTATCAAGTGCTACGACTCCTCCGGTCATCACCGTGTTTCCACAGCCCCTTCAGAACCGTGCGTTCCGAGCAATTTGAAGTTTTAATTCACTTTGAATTCATTTGAATAAACGGAAAACAATTTTCCATTACAAGTATATAATTATTGGACTGTGGATCTGCATGCAAAATAAAGATTTTATAGTTCAAGACTTATTTTAACGCATCGTCCGCCGTACAATCTCGAAAATCTCATGAGATTAAAGTATTTTATTTAAACAATCCAAAATTGAAAGGTCGAATTATATGACATCAATTACGTTTTCAAACTGTTCTGCGAATACTAGTCAAGCGAAGAAGATATGTTAGATTAGGGTAACACAATTAAGTTTCAAATCTGAGCAACCTGTATACAGGTAGTCGCAGGGTTAAACAGTAATTAGACTGCGGATTTTATACATTCGTGAGAGAATTGAATGGAAGTACAAAAACTGTGGAAACGTTAGAAGAAACGAAAGAGTTCTTCATTTTTACGTTGTTTCTTATAATTGCCTCGGAACATTTACATTTTCCAAAAAGATCCACGAATTATTTTGATTACGCAAGAAAACATACTGTCCCAAATTTCCTCATAATTCTGTTCATAAATCTGTCGGACAAAACAAATTTTCCTTCGTTCTTAAAAAACGATCCACGACACAACAAGAATCGCTGAATCAAATGGGACGCGTGTAAAGCGAAGAATTACTGTACACTATCCCAAACAGAAAAAAAGAAGCCTTCAGTGGGTCCGGACGATAAAGATTTGTGTATCAACTTAACTTCGATAAAACGTTTGCGGCGAAATAAAAACAGATACAGTAGAATCTTGATTGTCCGATTAAGCAGTGTAACATAGAACAGTTACTTAGATGAGAGAGAAGTGTCAGACGTCAGCTTTATTGATTTCTAGAATAAATCGTTTTGTATGTGATTCGCCTTTGATCGAGCTGATAGCAGATAAAAAGTATTTAAATAACGGATGATCCTGATATAAGAGGGCCAGATAATCGAGGTTCTACAGTACTAACGAAATCACTTAATAATACACCAGCGTCGTGATATCGAAGCGATCAGGTGCGCGTCGCCGATTGCCAAGCCATATTTCCATGTTAATCTGCTGATCTGGTGAAATTAGGCTAAGTTTACGATAGAGTAGATGTAGAGCACTATGACAGTACGATTTCAGATTTTTCGTCGAGGTTTCGGAAAGATAAGAGAGAGAGAGAGATTCTATCGAAGAATTGTTATCTTCGAGAAATATAAACCCTGCATCAACGTAAACGCTACCGCGCAAAACAATACAGCGTATTTCTATTACCATTTATCGCAAATGCGGCATAAACGCAGCCTCGTGTTCGCCGTGCGTTAGCCGTGCGTAATTCTCCCGTAAAATTGAACCGGCGAATAATTCGCGTGGACAAGTCGAGCAAGAATCGCGTTCGTGCATGGTTGAATGGGGTCGAAAACCGAGTCCGAAAACAAGCAACGGAACCGGAACAGAGCGGAAGAACGGAGCGGACCGGCGAGCTTTGGGGAAAGTTCACTGAACAGTATTTCACGGGGGCTCTCTCGTTACATCGGAGAGAAAATAAAATACACGAGGGAGAAGAATTCGCAATTTCGACCGCATTCTTATGAATTCGCTGCGGGGAGAACGAAAACACGGCGCCGGTTACGCAGAGTTTTCGGTTTTGAAAATCTTGCCCGCGACGCGGCGGTGCGCTTTCAATCGGACGGATTAACGGACTTTTAATGTTGCTTCGTCTCTTTCACTGGTTTTGCGCTTACGTTCCACGAAACTAGCAAATTTTAAATACACGCTCCTCTCATTAACATTGATCGTTGGTGGTTGAATTTATACAAATTTTTAGAAATGTTTGTGTCTATTTGTTGGTCATCGTGTGTTAATCAGACAGCTGTTTTTGACGAGTATATAATCGTGATAACACAAAATGTTGACATTTCTTCACGACGAGTATATATACGAGTCAAAAACAGCTATGTAATTGGTTGAGAAGGATATATACTTTGATATTCTTTACTAAATTATATATTTGAGAAAAGTGTCGTAATTCAACGAAATACGAAGAAAATCAAACGTATAATTACAACAAATTACAGACTTTTCAATGTGACTGCGACAGTTGACTGATTAAGGCAAGAATATTATTACAATTTTTGAGCGTTTAACTCGATATTAAAACTCTCCTACAAAATGAACGGAAATGAAGAATATAAAGATGTACGGGAAATGATAAAAGTTTTATTCCCGTTTGGGAGCACTGATATGTAAAGAGTTAATTGGCTTGCGAATTCATTTCTAAATTAACGAGTTGAACCTTGTAATATTAAACCACGATCGGAATTTACTTAATACTTATGCAAAATCCAATCTCCGTGCTTTTTAAATAAATGGAATTCCATCTTCCTGAGATTTTCCATTAATTATTCGAATACAATTTCTTTGTCATTCCACATCGCTTGATTTCGATCACTTTCGAGACATTCGGTTATACGATTTTCAGTACCATTTGACGGATAATATAAATATTTTTGCATACTCAAATTGTTGTATACGCGTCATTCTGTGTTTGTGTACACATCATTCTGTGTTGTGTAAACATCATTCTCTATTAGGATAGGACTCGTATGAACTCAACAATTGATAGTGTTCAGAGCAAGAACGAACTGGCTGCCGCTAGAATTTAGAGATTTTCTTTGCCGGGTATCGCTTCGTTTTCCCGTGAATCGTTGAAAAGTAAAATCGAATTACGCCGATGTGTGTCATGTTATTCAACGGTTCGGTAAACCACTTTCTTGTTTTGGTAAGCTATTACACGCGAGGCGAGCGTTACGGAGCTCTCACTCAGAGCCTGTCCCAGGCTCGAGCTTCGTTAAACCTAACTCCCACTAGCGCGTTTGGAAAACGCGAATGTCAATCAACGACCATCCGTAACGCAGCAAACAATGGTTTACTTCAGTGGAGGACGGGTGTACTCCAATTATTCCAGACAAACTGCGAGAATTCGGACAAAAAGTTTTCTATCATCAACCGCGTAAATAATTCATACAATAAGTAAATCTTATACAACCGGAATTTCGGAGAACAATTTCGCATTGTTCATGAAACTCTAGACGTCGAGCAGTTCGATTTACATTAGTACGTCAATGCTTGTACAACGTGCATCTGCACTCTTCTTTTTCTCGAAATGAATTTCGAAATATTCATCACTCGATTCTTTTAACCCCAGGAAAAGGGTTGAGGGAAGATAAAAAATGACCAGAGAATATGAAACATGCATTTTTCGACTAATAATGTTCTTTTATAAATTTTCGATATTCTATCTTTGCAGTCACCCAAATGTATTATTTAACAGTATTCTATAAATAAATATACCGCGAACAGAAAAAAAATATTTATAGCAGTTTTTCGTACATGGATACAAAATGACCCTCCCTTAAGCAGAGCTTAATTTAACCTTCCAATACCTTAACCGTCCTAGAGTCAATTAACATAATCAATTATGATTCTACGCAAATATCTGCCAATTATTAGCACCGCGTGAACTACATTGCGCGTAGTTTCAAAATCTTTTCAATTCTTGCCTGGTTAGTTCTTCAGATATT